CAATAAGTGCTTGGTGCCATAATGGTGCTGAAGTTTTGGATGAATCGTCGATAAAAGGTAGCCAACCCATGAAAACTCATTACTTCATGCACGATAGTGGGTGCAGGCCAGTCGAGGATGGCTTTAACCTTTTCTGGGTCTGCTTTCACTCCCCTAGTGAACACAACAAAGCCCAAAAACACTACTCTAAAAGTCATGAAGGAACATTTTTTCATATTAATGTAGAGTTTTTCTTGTCGGAGAACCCTCATTACTTGTCAGAGATGAAAAAGATGTTCCTCCTTGGCCTTGCTATAAATCAATATATCATCAAAGTATACAACCAGGAATTGACCAACAAAAAGTTGGAGTACCTGCGTCATGATTCGCATGAAAGTGTTGGGTGCATTACATAACCCAAAAGGCATGACTAGCCACTCGTACAGTCCATCTTTGGTCTTAAAAGTTGTTTTCCATTCATCTCCAGGTTGTATGCGAACTTGGTGGTAACTGCTCTTGAGATCTATCTTTGAAAAGATAGTTGCTCCGGCAATCATATCTAGCATGTCGTCAAGCTGCGAAATTGGGAACCAATATTTAACGATGATTTTGTTGATGGCACGACTATTTACACACATTTGCCAACTTCCATCCTTCCTTGGTGTCAACAATGCTGGTACCGCACATGGACTTTAGCTTTCTCTGATATATCCCATTGACAAAAGCTCTTCCACTTGTTTCTTCAAATTGACATGATCACTAGGCTTCTTTCGATAAGCTGGCAAGTTGGGTAGTGGTAAGTTGGAGTACCTGCGTCATGATTCGCATGAAAGTGTTGGGTGCATTACATAACCCAAAAGGCATGACTAGCCACTCGTACAGTCCATCTTTGGTCTTAAAAGTTGTTTTCCATTCATCTCCAGGTTGTATGCGAACTTGGTGGTAACTGCTCTTGAGATCTATCTTTGAAAAGATAGTTGCTCCGGCAATCATATCTAGCATGTCGTCAAGCTGCAAAATTGGGAACTAATATTTAACGATGATTTTGTTGATGGCACGACTATCTACGCACATTCGCCAACTTCCATCCTTCTTTGGTGTCAACAATGCTGGTACCGCACATGGACTTTAGCTTTCTCTGATATATCCCTTTGACAAAAGCTCTTCCACTTGTTTCTTCAAATTGGCATGATCACTAGGATTCAATCGATAAGCTGGCAAGTTGGGTAGTGGTGCACCAGGAACCAAATCAATTGCATCCTAGATGTGGCACATGGGTGGTAAATCAGTTGGTAAGTCTTCTGGGCAATATCAGAGAAATCTTCGAGGAGTTGGATCACTTCTTGAGGCGTTTCCTTAGGCTGGACAGCTACTGTTTTGCTCACTTCTGTGGTCACCACAGCATAGATAACCCCAACTTCATTGCTTTCTTGCTCAAACTTCTTCCTGGTAAGTAATTGAAGAGGTTTCTTCTCGGTGGCAGCTTGTTATCTCTTCTTTTCAACATGTTTTGGCTTCTTTTCCTTTAATTTGTTCAGTTCTTCGGTACTCTTTGGGTAAAGAGTGATTTCATCTTTGTTGCACAGAAAGTGGTAAGTATTTTCCTTTCCACAATGATACACATCACGATCAAAGAGCCAAGGTCAACCCAATAATATGTGTGTAACATTTATGGGAACAACATCGCACCAAATAGAATCTGTATATTTACCGAAAGTAAGAAAGATTAAACATCATTGATTTACCGGTATAGTGGTGTTGTTGATCCATGCAACACGATATGGCTAGGGATGTGGCTTTGTACGTAATTTAGTCTTTCAACTGTTGAACTCGATACTACATTCATGCAACTTCCTCCATCGATGACCAGCTTGCGTAGTTCCTTTCCACAAGTAACTAATGTCTGGAAAGTGGTAGTCTTTCTCCAGTCTTCCTTCTCAGTCTTTGGAGTGGCAAGAATGCGACGAACCACCATGGCAAAAGACTCATCTACATCCGAATCTTCCAAATCATCAGCATGATATTGTGGTTCTTCATTGGTCGCATCATTCTCGTGGCCTTCTTGATGAGTCAGTTCCTCCTCATGTTCCATCTCAAGGTGGAGATTGGACTTGGTTGGACATTGGTAGGCCCTATGTCCTTAGCCACCATATCCGAAACAAAAGTCTTTGCCTTCGGGCCTTCTTGGAGCGTCACCTATCACATTCTTCCCTTTAATATCATTCAACCTTTGATTAGGCTGGAAGGAAGCTACTCTAGTACCCTTGTTACCATCGTTAAATCTTCTTGCTGCTGCCTCCCTAACTTGGGAAGGAGATTTCTTCACTGGCGGCAAACGTAAGTACCCCATGTTAAGAGCCACTTGGAACGCATGCTTCACACTGTAAAGGGGTCGTCGAAGCAACTCTCGTCTTATATCAAATCTAAGACGAGATTTGAATCTAGCCAAAGTATTACAAGGATCTTCACTAATTTGGCTTCTAGTCTTTAGCTCATCAAACTTCTGCATGTATTCTGCCACTGACAAATTGCCTTGTTTGAGATTGACAAGTTGTTCACAAAGCTTCTCTTGGTAAATAGGACGCAATATACTTCTCACGAAGCTTTGCTTTCATCTATTGCCAAGAAGAAATTGATGCTTAACTCAATCTCCTTATGTTACCTTCGATGCCATTCCACCATACTTTCGCAAGACTAACCAACTTCATTCTTGCGAAGCGAACTCGCCTCTCGTCATACATGTCATGCCAATCAAAATACTCTTCAATTGAAGACAACCAATCAACGAAGACTGTTGGATTTAGTCTCCCATCAAAATCTGGTACGTCCACCTTTACCTTCTTGATAATATCGCCAGCGTTGTCTTGAGATTCAAGACAATACCTTTCGAGCCAGTTCCTATTCCAGTCAACAAAAGGAAATTGTGGCATTGGTTGTGGTCTTTCAACCCTCACTTCCCCTCTTGGCATTGGACTGCGTGGTTGTTCCACTTGCTGCCCCTCTTGCTCTCCGCCTTCTTCCTCATTAACAATGCCTCCGGATGGTTCTCCTCCATTGTTGGCAGCCTGGTTAGCAACGTTATGAGCAAACCTTGTTTCAAGGTCACCCACACGAGACTGAAGGTTTTGCATCTGCTCCCAAATCTGAAGAAGTGGGTCATCTCTTCGATTGTCAATGAGTCTCCCGCAGAAAGTTCTTCCCGTACGAGTAGACATGGTGCTAAACCTGCTCTGATACCAAACTGATGCAAGATCTTTAAACTTTCAACACTAAAATAGGTTAAATAAAATGAGAAGGTAGGCTGAAAGTTTATGGGAGGTTTAGGACAAATTGTGATCAGGTTTTGGTGTTCTAAGGTAGAGTTTAAAGGGCTGAAATTTGAGTTTTAAGACAGGAAAAACACGCTGGATTTTAGGCAGGAAAATGTAGAAATAATGAGGTGAAATGGTAATTAAATCAAAGAAAATTAGGCAATCACACCTACGCTATGAAGCATGGACACGCCAAAATGGAAGCCGTGGGGGTGTCGGACACGGGGACACGCCGGAGACACATACGGGACACGGCATCTGGCGTGTCCCCTTAATTTAATTTATTTTTTTACAGGGGATACGGAAGAGACACTGTGGGGACACGCGTGTCCAAATCTGGACACGCTATGGACACAACGACACAGCGACAAGAGTAAAATGAAAGGAAAAACGAGTACAAACCTGATCAGCGACGATCCAGAGCCCCATTTGACTTCCATTAACAATGCCTCCGGATGGTTCTCCTCCATTGTTGGCAGCCTGGTTAGCAACGTTATGAGCAAACCTTGTTTCAAGGTCACCCACACGAGACTGAAGGTTTTGCATCTGCTCCCAAATCTGAAGAAGTAGGTCATCTCTTCGATTGTCAATGAGTCTCCCGCAGAAAGTTCTTCCTGTACGAGTAGACATGGTGCTGAACCTGCTCTGATACCAAACTGATGCAAGATCTTTAAACTTTCAACACTAAAATAGGTTAAATAAAGTGAGAAGGTAGGCTGAAAGTTTATGGGAGGTTTAGGACAAATTGTGATCAGGTTTTGGTGTTCTAAGGTAGAGTTTAAAAGGCTGAAATTTGAGTTTTAAAACAAGAAAAACACGCTGGATTTTAGGCAGGAAAATGTAGAAATAATGAGGTGAAATGGTAATTAAATCAAAGAAAACTAGGCAATCACACCCAATAAGAGATGTATCACACATCTAGATATATAACAAGCTTTCTTTATATTATAAGATAATATATACTTATACATATTAATAATAAAAAAAATAAACACATGTATGTAAAATTAAATAAAAAATTAATTGGAACACATTATTTAAAAAATATAATAAATAAATAAAATAATTAATATGTATTAAAATAAAAATATTTATAAAAAAAATTAAAAAATTTGCCGTGTCCCCTGTCGTGTCCGTGTCCGTGTCCGTGTCCCCATTTTTTAGAAATTACCGTGTCCCATGTCCGTGTCCATATGCGTGTCCGTGTCCGTGCTTCATAACACCTACGTTCAAGGACAATCACACCCAATAAGAGATGTATCACACATCTAGATATATAACAAGCTTTCTTTTTTATTCAAGTTGTGCTCAATGCATTGTGAGCTTACATATAGGCATCTCAATACAATAGAAGACAAATAGTTGAAATACAAAATTCAAAGTAAAAGATACACTTTAATGAGATTTTCAAAATAATGATAATACTTGGAAAATCTTGGCGGCTGGTAGCTAAACTTTCAACATTATCATGCTGAAAATTAGACTTATTGGTGGCTGGTGGCTAAACTTTCAACATTATCATGCTGAAAATTGGCTAAATGTAGTAGACATCAGTATTAGGCTAATTCTAAGATAGAATATTGCCAAATAATAATGTTGGCTTTTGAATTTGGTTTCCCTCTTCTTTTGTAATATTTTTCAAAAGGAGTTGCCATATCATTTGTATCAAAATTTCTGTTTTACATCAACATGCTTTGACTTACACCAGAATTGAATAAATAAATAAAATAAAATAAATACGCTGACCTATTTGCATTAATTATAATCAGACAATGTACATAAACTGAAAGAGGCATTCTAGAATTCAATCAAATTATGCTCAACACAAAAGTCGAGCTCATCTATGAAATCTACAAAATCAAAAGAGGGGCAAAAATTCCTTACACCAAAACTGAAAACTATCCAGTAAAGCCATCGTGAGCCTTAGTACACCCAGCACTGTATCCTCAAATGAGCATCCAAGTGTACCAAAAAAGAAAATGTGCATCTAAGACATCAAGGCACAACCATCCAAGCTTTCTTCTTCCACTTCACCTAGCATCACAACAAATTAAGGACTGAATCCAACTTACCCAATTGATCAACCATTGTCTCCACTCCTAGACACAAACAGCATCAGATAGCAAGTAAGAAGCCCCTCTTCATTAAATTATCATATCTTGTGCCTCTGTTTGTGGATGTGATATACAACAGAATTTCTGTTCTAGCTCTATACACTTGTTGTTCCTTACAATTCTATGTTAGGAAATAAAAAAAATGAAAAAGAATATCGAAGGTCTTCCTGTTTCTGAAAGTCGGAACTCTCAAGAACTTCCTGATATGTATTAAAGCTTTGTCAAAAAATTTGAGTACTGTCTCATCAACAATTTGAACGTTTTCAATTCCTTCGGCCCAAAGTTTATCGTATGATCATCAAACTTAAACTCTAATGGTGACAAAGAATTAAAAAGTTCTGGTCCAACCATCTCCATTTGGCTGTTGGGAACAACCCCCTTTTCAGGTGTTTTGGAAATAAAGGTTGTAAATCTCTCATTGTTACAAACAGAATTCTCTGGTATAGGATCCATGGCAGAAAACTTAGAAGAGATTGCAGCTGGTTTATGTAAAGTAAAAAGATTCACTTTTTGGGTATCAGAAAATATTTCATCTTTACTGTCAGCAAGTGAAACAGCATGGTCATTATGGGCATCAAGGCCGGACCCTGATAGAGCCATTTCACTAGCCACCTGTATGACTTCATTGCACTGGTCACTAAGTTCATCGTTCACTGACAATAAATCTGTTTCTGCTTCAGCATGTAACTTGCGAAGAGTAAGCAAAACAGGAGTGGGAAGAACTGGACCCACAAAACCAGTACTAGGCGGCACCTTCTGCGACCACTTACCACTACGGAACGAAGGTCTTCGGAAGACAAAAGGAGGCAACTGGGGTCGGCTGGGGACATCTAGGAATTCCAAGGACACCTTCTTGTGGTCTACAAGAACTTCAAGGAACTCTGAGTAGCAAGAAAAGGCCAACTGCAAAAGATCTGCAGGCAAGCTTGTCCAAATTCTCCGTAAAGCAACCTCATGTATGCTGGTTAGCAGTTGGATATCTTCAAACACATCAGAAACAGTAGGAGATGATCTTAATCTATTAAATCCACATGCCTTTAACTTCTCACATATACATTGATGGAAATCTGCAACACTAAAGGAAATCTTTTCACAAGGATCCTTACAAGGATTTTTCATTCTTTTACGCAGAAGTTCAGCAAGATTGTCTTTCATATACCCATTGAGGTAGTCAAGATTCAGGTACTTAAATCTCTTGGGAAATTTATAATCCCCTTCACCCATGGCATATAAAAGAGTATCTTCAAAATGAAGAGATGGCTCTTTGTGCACTTTAGTCAACACTTTCATGAATTCCCATGAGGCACAGTATCTTTGTGATTCAAGCTTCCCGGAAGACATCAGCCTAATCAGTGTGAAACCACCAAAACCATCCTGTTCAGACAATTCAGCATGGAGATCTCTGTCAAGGATGCCAAAACCCAAAACTATATCTTTCTTCTGCCTCCAGTCAATCCATTCAGGAAGAACATCCTTTGAGAACTCTTCTCTCACAAGACAACTTCCACAGTGACACTCACGGCCTGACAGTGAGAGCTCTGAAGGGAGATCCCATGCATAAAATGATTTATAAAATCTTGACATTTCAGATACAATAGTTCCTTTAGGGGGTGGTCCATAGCAAAAAAGACTGAAGTCACAGTTCCAAAACGATCCCATTATAATGCAAAAACCCGACTCAGAAGCCCACTTTAAATTATCATCCTTAGAATGTGACCTCAACTCAGACAACGGAAACACATTAATGTAAGATGGGTTAGCAAGATCATGTGCCCATTGCAACAATGGCATAAATGGCTTCCGCACATCACAAAGAAGCAGCCAATGGTCAGAGGCCAATACAAAGCAGAAACCATTGGAACCCGCTTTAGAAAGCACAACAAATCGATCATTTTGTACAGAATTACACATAGCCAACGTATCAATTTTCAGCAAAACACTCACATTGCATCCCTCAGCCCTCAAATCAACAAGAAAAACAGCACTGTAATGAGCGACAATCAAAATTCTCGGATGCCAACTAAATTCACAGCTCAACCATCCGCCTTTTCCCAAACCAGTAAAAATTTTCCACGACACCCTCAGCTTGTTCCCACTAAATCTTGCATTTTTAGAACAAGAATCTAAATCAAACAAGAATAATTCACCACTCTCTAAAAGCACCACACACTCTTCAGGCAAATGATGACTCCAAGAAGCATGAACAACACAACAACTCTTAAACAACTTACTACCCATAAAATCTAAACAAGGCCTCTCAAAATCCTCCGAACCGAGACGACCCCTAATTCTAACACTAAACCAATGAACACCATACATAGTACAAGCTAGCAAATACCCAATACTAATAGTAGTGGTAACAGAAACAGAGGAATTATTATTACCTGAACCAGACCGTGAAGAATTAGCTGCAGGGCTAACCAACAATCGAAGAATCTGATGGTTCAACTTGTTTTTGGCAGTGAAAATGCCACCAAAATCATGGGTTTTGAGAATCAAGTTAGAATTTTTTACGGAAAGCATGAGAAACCCGACTTGATCGAAGTTGTGGCCGGTGGGGAAGAAGACGAGGAGGGACGAGGAGGAGGGAAGGCGGAGGGAGATGAGGCGGTTGTGGAGGAAAAGGGGAGGAGGGGGGGGGAGGGGAAGGAGGGAGGAGGAGGAGAGAGAGGAGGCGGTGGAGGGGAGGAGAGAGAAGGGATGGGAGGAGGAGGGGGTGGTGGAGAGGAAGCGAGGGAGAGAGAGGGAGGGGAAAGGGGGAGGGAGGAGAGGAGAGAGAGAGGGAGAAGAGAAGAGTAGGGTTAGGGTTTGGGGAGAGGGGTTGAAGAAGAGAGGGCCTAGTTGTGATTTCGAGGAGGAGGAGGTGGCGCCGCCGTGGACGGCGGCGGAGAGAAGGAGGAGGGGGGAGGAGAAGACGGAGGAGATGGGCCACATTGACTTCCATTCCTCTGATAAATTCATATTCCTCTGTTTCGGTGCTGGTGATGTTGCTGAGGATTTGTTCTTCGGTATACTCCGAGAGGGAGAGAGAGAGAGAGAGAGAGAGAGACATAAATTACGGTAACATATCATTTCAGACTTTAGGATGGTTGGTGAATTATATATATTAATTGAAAAGTTAAAAGTTGCTTTAGGATGGTTGGTGAATTATATATCGATCCCTAATTCGAAAGAGTTTGGTTCGAATTTAGTTTGATATCAAAATGATATCGTTTTGGTTTTTTTTTTTTTTTTTTGTGTTTTTGTTGCAAAAGGAAAAAGAAGAAGAAGGGTGGAGAAGACAGAATGAGAAGAGAAGGAACGAGGAAGAAGGAGGAGGATTGAAGGGGGCATAATCATAGGGGGAGGAGGAGGTGATAGCGGTGGTGCTGCGACGATCTCTGGTACTGCGACGATCGGCAGCAGTGAGGCGACGGCAGTAGTGCTGCGACGATCTCCTCTCCTCCTCTCTCTTTCTCCCTCTCTCCTCATCTTTCTCTTCTCCTCTCTTCTTCCTCTCTTCTCTCCCTCTTTCTTGAAAAAAAAAAAATTAAGAAATACATTTGGCACGTTGAAAAGCCGAGACTTCAAGATATTAATATGGGTGTTCACTTTAGATCGATTGGCGGGTGATACACGTGATGGATGTATAATTTAGATAAGTAAGGAATTGTTTAGCTATAATTAAAAAGGTGCACAGATTGAACTTTTTTTATCTTTTATGAGTCACATTATCTTTCTTGTTTTTATATATTTTTTTGTAAAAAAATTAAAAATTATTAAAATAATATGTTCCGAAACGAAATTTTAAAATGTACATAATTTTATCATAAAATATCATGGCATACATCATAAACAATCAACCATGATTTTCATTATAAATAATCTTAGATAATGTTTGGTTTAATTTTTAAAATATAATTTGAATCAAAAAAATAAAAAAATATTATTTGGTTAATGAATTCTTAAAATACAACTCAAAACTCAATTTTCTTTCTCTTTTCTCCTTCTTTTTTTTTTATTAATAAATCAACCAATCAAATTTTTTCTCACATCTATCTATTCAATTAAAAATAAATTTAAAAAAATTACAAATCATCTCAAAATTATTTTCAAAACTCATAACCAAATAAATTTTCAACTTTCAAAACTACTTTCAATAACTTATCTTTCAAAATGCAATTCAAAACACATTTCAAAAACTAAACTAAATAGTGCCTTAGTTTTCTTACGATGTGTATCTTTTTAGGGAATTAGGTGTTGTTGTGAGTGAAGCACAGTCAGCATTGTTGTGCACTCGTGAGGTATATTTGGAGTTTTATTTCGATGATCTGAAACATTCATTTTTTTAGAGTACATTATGTACAATATACTTGTAAAAAAATCAAATTGACCTGATATCATTAGCCCTTTCATTAAAACATATTTATATTAGTTTTATATTTAAAATAACACTTACTATTCATTTTTTTCTATGCAAATGTGTTTTGATGAAGGAACTACCAACGTCCGATCAATTTAATTTTTTGTAGGGATATTCTACAAGATGCATTTCAAAAAATAAGCTATTCAAATTATTAAAATAATACCCAGAGTGCGCCTTAACACGCACTTAGCAGGGACCCCAATTTCCCTTTTTAGGGGTGCACGATGTATTTATTTTAAAAAATAGTATATGGTGTAAATTTAAGAAATATTTGGTAATTGACTAAAATAATAAAAAGGTCAATACACAAAATTAACTTTATTATCGTTACTTTTTTGCATGTCTTTTTTATATTTAAAAAAAAAAAATTGAAAGTTCAATTCACATACGAATCATTAAACATCATTCATTGATTTAATTTCTGAGTAAATTTTCAAAGTGCGTCACGTTGTTTTCACATACAATTTAAAATTTTCTTATAAACATGTTGCAACTTAAAAATTATTTTGTAAAATATGCTTGCTTGGTTTGAGATTGAAATGCATTGACTTGAAGTTAAATTTCACTTAATTTATCAACAATGTACTTGAAGAGAGCATATATTTATCAATAATGTACCAGAAGAGAGCATGTAGTTTTTGTACAAGAGATGTGAGAGCGGGTAGAGAAATAGAGCAGAGTGAGAGATTAAGTCTGGATAGTTGAAGTGCTTAACAGATAGTGGCAGTTTCAGTAGACGGTGGAAAAGTCAGTACCAGTTGGTAAATAAATAATCTTTGTGGGTGTTTTGATTTAATGTGAATAGCCTACATTGAGTCACATCATTATGTATGAAAATTATGTGTTTCCAACTAACGTCTCCACAAAACTAGCATCTGCTAAAAAAACAAGTTCCTAATCTTAAAAAATTTGTATTCAATAAAATAATAATAATAATAATAACAATAATAAATCAAAAAAATTTATCTACAATGAATGTACACAATCCAATTAAAACAAGCAACTCAATTATAGGGGCAAAGATAAAGAATGTGCGTAATAGTGAAATGTTAAAATAAATATATGAATAAAATAAAACAAGTTAAGCAAACAGAAAGATAGGGGTCGCAAAATGCAAATCCACGGGTCATTATTTTCACATGCTACCAGCTCTGCCAGGAGTAGTTTTTGTCGTCGGCTTAATTTTTGCAATGTCAACAAGGTCTCCAAATAGCTTATCCTCTGGCTTTGTGGGCCTTCCAGGCAGAACGTAGGATGGAGTGGATGTCTGGTAAGAAGAATCTCTCAAGACACCATCGTCCGTAACAGACAGCCCTGACATTCTCTGGTCAAGGAACTGAGCGTTTTGTTGCTGACCGTATCCATACCCATACCCCGCCATTTGGTTGTTATACATCTGTTGAGGATACATTAAAGCAGGCAGCCCAGATTGCATTTGCTGCGGATACACACCCATTGGCTGGTGTCCTCCAACCAGCTGATTGCTCTGAATAACCTGGTTATTGATTGCTGACAGATGACCGGTTGTGATTGGCTGAATATACATGCCCACCAACTGATCGTTACCTTGATGCATGCCACTTGGAACTGGTTGGGAGTGTGTGACAACCACCTGAGTAACCTGCATTGGTGGAGGACTATTGTCTGATGGCTGAACTTCCCACGGGGGTGGTGGCAGTGAACTACCGCTCTGAGCACCTGAGGAACGTTGCACAATGTCAAATGATAAAAGAGTAATTCCTGTACATTTACATTCTCTACAAGGTGCTTGCCCAAAGCCCTGCTAAATTACTGTCTGTCAGATTCACGAAAATCTTGTGAAGATGAATAATCCGTGAATTTTCACAAGAATGACTAACAAGCTTAGGTGTCAAAATGGTTCAGATCCTAACTGCCCGCCTATAAGTACATGCTTATGTTCAACCAAAACCTGGAGTATTTAACAAATGAGTCATGAGGCCTCCAAACCCAAGTGCCAAACTCTTAAAGCAGAAGAAGGAGTAGGAGCGAGAGCGAGAGCATCAATTTGTGAAATGTATAAGACTGAGGGAGCCTCCAGAGCGTCTATATGTTCATATATGTATGTACATCTTGTGTGTAAGATGTTTTCTAATAATTTTGTATAGCTTTACATTTGTATAACTTAGGTACAAAAGTAACACATCAACAAACCATTGTCAGAAACAGAAAATTCCAGCTACATGGCAAGTAAACATCAGTCAAAACAAAATTCATGAATTTCCCAAGACAGATCTGCGAATTTGGGGCGATTTCACTCCCAATTCACATATTCGCGAATAACAGCGCAATGTGGCCTTCTACCTACGCAAGCTAGGGCACTTAGCTCCTAACCCCAACCGAGGAATGTAGGATTCTAGGCTGTATCCCATTTTCATCAATATGATATGACTAATGAATGACTCATGGAAAGGGGGCAAAGTGTTAGTAAATTAAAACCTTAAGGGTGAACAGTGTAATAATGCCTAACTTGTGGGGCTCAGTGTATTTTTTCCAAACCTCAAGGGAAGGTTAGTGTAATTTACCCTAAAACTAATAGCAAATATTTGTACTGATACAATATGTAATTACAAGAAACCATAAAATTTAAGGTAACACATAAAATTATTAAATAATAAAAGCTATATATGTTATTAATATCTATAGAAAACTATAGAAAAATAACCAGTAGGCTAGTTAGCAGGAGAAGGGAAAAGACCCAAAAAAAAAAGGTTTGCAGGAGGCTCTAAACCAATTCCAATATTTATATCAGTCCAAAACGTCAAACCAATCCCTTAAAATTAGTAATACCGGGCAGGTTGACATAGCGGATGACAATTCCTAACTATCTGACGGAGCATAAGGTGATTGCAAAGCTTGAATCTGTAAGAATGCATGTGAAGAAGATCTTTGAAAATAAAAAATGCTTATAGAGTGGTTTAGAAGTGCACCATAGTCCGGCGAAGGTGGCTGCTGACGTGGGGACATCTGTCCATTCCAGGCAGGATTAGCACCTTGTGAGTATGGTGACTGCTCATACTGAGGTACCATCATGTTTGGGACAATTCCGTTGGGGTAAACTGAGGTTTGTGGATACTGAAAATTCTGATGCTGCTGATATTGTGGCGATGAGGGGTATGCTCGTCCAACTGGAGAAGCAGGTTGATTATTGTTAATTTGAGAAAACATGTCTACAAGAGCGAGGGCATTGTGCTGACCAGCTACAGGACTGGTCTGGGGTTCTCCCAAAGGAACAATAGCTAGCGAATTCTCTGCCGAAGGCGAGTTGAAGTCATCTCCACTCAGAAGGTCCATTTTGGGATTAACCTTTGTTGAAATTGTTGGCAGACCATTAGTGGCAGGAAGCTGCTGCTGTTTCCCTGCACCAGCATTGGAGGTGGATCTGCAGAAAAATCCAGGTGTTTACTGCTTAGGATAACCAGTGGCTTCATTATAAAGGATATGAATTTTCTTAAAATTTCGCGCTAGGTTTGATGCTTAAGCCATATCAAAATTCCAACCTCTTCATACGATGATGAGGAGAGATAAGGAAGAAAAAACAAAACTCAGCTGCTCGGGAAGAAAACAAAGAACTTTAAATTTTTTTAAAAAATTATTTCAATATCATTAGTATGGCGTCAAAATAGAAAGTCAAAACATCAGTTCTGTAATGAGAATAAACTCACTCAAGTCCTAGATATCCATTGCATAAGTCTTCCAAAGTAAACAATTCAGTCAATCATTTAGAAGGAATGTGGCATCTAATTTCCCAATAGTCTAGCCATTGGCTTTCTAAAAAAATTGTGCAAAACATAAACACTAATGTTTTGACATGTATGAACTATACCCAATATAAATTTTCAAAAGACCAAATCCAACAATAACTGATGTATCAGGGATATTAGCCAACACAAATACTGCAAAGAATAAAAATTCAAATAAACTTATTTTACCCCCCATCAGAATGTTTACTGTCTCCTGTGTAAATTAGAGGAGCATCCAGATTCACCAGTGCTTGAACAGGTTCAGGCTTCGGTTTCTCTGTTTTGGCAGAAATTCCTGAGACAATGGATTCATGTTTGGCTAGTAGTCGCTGCAAATCGTCATTCAGTGCAAGTCCTTGACATAGCAGTGATTCGTCCCTGCAAGAGGTATATGAATAATGAATATACATAGTGACAACAGCATTGGTTGCATATAAAGAGTAAGCTGTAGCATCTACTACATCCAGTCCCAAGGCATTTTTTTATTGCACATAATGCTTGTTCATTTATAAATCAAAAACCACACACGTAAATACATACATGCACACCCAACCCCCCACACACATAGAAAAAGATATGCTAAAAGGGTATCAATTAGAGACCTACAAGGCAACACAATATTATCTCGATAGGCAAAATACAAGTAACTACCTACCTGAAAAGGATTGAGTACAGGGTCTCACTAGTCGCCCTTAGCCAAACATTTATACCTTAATTTTGTTCATCTTTCCACTCTGGAACCTCTTCTTATAAAAGGCAAGTGAAGATCAACCTATGGAAACCTTCATCCTTGTTTCAACGAGTATGTGAGGTCAACTGTTAAGAAAATAACCAATAATACAAGGGGACTTACCCCAGGTTCAAAAACAAAGTTGGAAAGGAGGCTATTTAACTCTCAGGGTTTGAAAATCAAAGCTCCATCTTACACCCCCAACGATCTCCAATCCAAGCACTTTTTCCACATTCCAATAGAGTTCACTCTTCCCAGGGCTTCCACATTCCATAATCAATTTTGCACTCACGTAAATCTTTAATATTTCATTTTGGCTATTAAATTTTCTTTTGAAATTTACAACATGACCCCAAAAGTGTTTCCGACGTGTAAGGGCACTGGCGATACATGTCCTAGTCGCGTCCTTTGTGGACTGGACGGTGCTGTTGGGCCCGTGAGACCCACCATAGGTCTTGTTTCTATAGTCCGTATCATCAATGTGTAGAGCTCGTCAAATACTTTATCTCTAAAAAAATCACGTTGATTGGATATCGATAGCTACTCGATCAAATCAGATTTTTGTCAATAATTTATTTTGAACATTATATTTACCGTTAATAGAAATATGATCCGATCAAGTAGCTATCGATATCCGATTAATGTAAATTTTTACAAAGATAAAGTACTCAACGAGCTCTACACATTAAATGGTTTGGATCATCGAAACATGACCCGTGGTGGGCCCCCATAGGCCCAACAGCACACTTCAGTCCGATCTTGGACTGGAGAGAAGATACATGTCCTAGTCGCGTCCTTTGTGGACTGGACGGTGCTGTTGGGCCCGTGAGACCCACCATAGGTCTTGTTTCTATAGTCCGTATCATCAATGTGTAGAGCTCGTCAAATACTTTATCTCTAAAAAAATCACGTTGATTGGATATCGATAGCTACTCGATCAAATCAGATTTTTGTCAATAATTTATTTTGAACATTATATTTACCGTTAACAGAAATATGATCCGATCAAGTAGCTATCGATATCCGATTAATGTAATTTTTTACAAAGATAAAGTACTCAACGAGCTCTACACATTAAATGGTTTGGATTATCGAAACATGACCCGTGGTGGGCCCCCACAGGCCCAACAGCACGCTTCAGTCCGATCTTGGACTGGAGAGAAGTCTAGCCCTTCCTCTTAATGCACACATCTTTTTGGTTTGGAAATCAACTTTCAAATAAAACTATTTGGTTCAAAAATCAAGTTTTAAACAAACTATTTGGTTGGAAACCAACTTCCAAACCAAATAGTTTTGTTCAAAAATCAAATTCTGAACCAAGAATTCGGAAATTAAGTGTGTGAACTGAGATAATGTAGTGTGTGGAAATAGAAGCTCCCTATAGAAGAGCAGCTAGATGAAGCAGGGTGAGGCATCCTTTGGGGAAAGCATCCTCATAATTAAGTGAAACATGTGAACAACTAAACCAATCCAATCAAGGGGGGTAACATGGCCTCTGAAGTGTTCAAGGTTGTTGGGGGAAGGTCTGATTCAAGCCTGTCTAGGATGTGGATGTTGTTATCTGCAATATTCCCTTTGGGTTGTAACTCCTTTTGTTAGGAAATGGCTGTCTGATTTATTTTCCTAATAAAGTAAAAGGAGAAAGGGAAAAACGACATACAAGATTGATTTTAAAGGAGCACTAAAATTCATTATACAAATGGGCATAAGCAGTAGGGTAAGTAATACAAGGCCTTACGAAGTCGAGTTAACAAGGTGTACCACTCTTTGCTTGTATGTGCGGCATTGATCCACCAAGTCAACAACAACCTCCTGCCTAATCCCCTGCAAAGTGAAAATATGATAATTCAACGCAAGGATTGACTACCAAATTTAAGAATGTAATGTGTAAGAAATTTGCGAGGAAAAAATAATAGGTCCAAGACATATAAACTTGTTAATTTTAGCATTATTTCAGTCCCTTAACAAACCAAGTATCAGACGGAGGTTTCACCAAGTCTAAATAGCCCATTATTAGTTCAGTATGTTGGATGTTTTACATAGAAGTGCATCATTAATGTAACACTACACCAGAATCTTCAACCAGAGAAAAAGAGATGATAAAAAATTAGGCCTTGCAGCTTATAGATTGGGAAAATACCTCTTTGTTCCCCGGATCTATTGCATTCAACATTTCTGAAAGAACATCCATAATACCTCGTGCATTCTGAATTTCTGTCAAGCTGGCAGAAAAATTATCCATTAATGACATAACCACAAGTAATAATAATCAACTCAGTAGAAGATGCAAAAGAGTTTTACTGCAAACTAGCACATTTAGTTTGTGCTGATTCAAATCCTGTTTCCTCTAATCAATGAAGAGCAGAGAAATTAGTTTGTCAGGGAAAAATTGCAACCATAAAATAGAAACAACAAAGTGACTAGTATAAATTAGGGCTGCAATGCAAACAAACCAAGTTGTTCACAAACAGCTCAAGTTTGAACCAACAATGGAGTTCAAGCTTGTTTATCTATAAAAGTAGAGACCATGTGTGCAGTTCCAAGACTAGTTTGGTTACACAGCTAACCCAGAACAGGCCCAAGCTCATCTCATCAGGATTGACTTGATCATTTTTTCATTGACATGTATTATTAAGGTTGTGACATACAAAAAAATCTGCAAACCTCATAAGATGCAACTATACTCCACTAGAGGGGAACACATGCTATGCACATGTTCATCCCCTCATTGGATTAAATATCTCATACAGTTATTTCCTACTTTTTTTATTGAAATTTCCTGTCAAACACTCATTTGTTGGCTTTATGTAATAGGACAGATTATCAACGAAAATACGAGAACTGTGCCACAATTGCTCATCATCTATTTATGCTTTACTCCACGAGTGAAGAAAGAATTGAATGAAGACAAAAGATCAGAAGTTAAAGATGCATACAGCTTCACTACAACACCTGATCACCTAACATGCGTATAAGCAAAAAGTTCAGAGGGTACTCTTTAGAAAATGCATATGAGGAATTAGAATTGGTTTCCCATCCGAAATTGTTTGAGATCATTTAGTTTGAACCATCTGAATATCGAACCATCGATTTGAACAATGAATTACTTTGAATTATCTTGTTGGCTTTTCATTTAAAATGTATTGTACATTGTTTATTTTTAGCTATGAAACCATCTTACAAAATAATTGTTCATTTATTGAACTGTAGAAAAATTTATATTTATTGATTATCGATTTATTTATTTATTTTTTTATACTTGATCCAGCTGGCAGTGATGGTTGGTTATTTACTAGGCTGTCTAGCTTACCCTTATTTTATTTTTTTCAGATTCTGAAGAGTAGAGCTGCGCGGGATTTTTTTTACATATGGGAGTGCCGAGAGTAGGACTATGATTTAAGTGCTTGGATTATTTGTTTTGTTAATGGATTTTATTAGTGGACTTGGTGGATAATTTCATATGATAAGAATAATCAATTTTTTTTATAGATTTTAGTATTATGATAATTAAGGATTTGATTGGAGTATTTTACATTGTTAGTTATGTGTTGGACTCTTAGCCTTGCATGCTCACTTAAATGAGTGTGCGGCGTTGTCACGGAGCTTGGGACGTGACAGTACTCTTTAGAAAATGCATATGAGGAATTAGAATTGGTTTCCCATCCGAAATTGTTTGAGATCATTTAGTTTAATGCTACTGGAAAAGAAGCACCAACTGGCAAATTGGGGGGAGTATGCTACACTGATAGATTGGGTGTTAATTACTGAATTATCTTTCTTTCAAACAGAAAAAGAAAAGGACGCAGCATTTACCTCAACGTTGGAAACTCAGCCTCTGCAGAAGATTCAGCCGCTTCTTGCTGATATTCTCGAGCCCGAATATTATGTGGATATGATGTTAGAGGCTGTGATTGTGGGGGTGTAAATACAGGTGCAGACCTTTCAGTTCTCGGAGGGAATACTGCCCCAGCCCGCTGAAAGCAACAAGCAATTTGAATCAAAGAGTTTAAAAAACGAAACTGGTTGTCAAACAGAATATACAACAAAAGCCACAAAATAACCAAGTGACAGTGTCACACCTACCAAATGGTGTACATAAAATATTAATACCTAAAAACATTGAGTTCCTTACTTCTCAAATCTGACAAATACTTAATTAGACAACTTACCAACAACTCCTGGTATGCGGAATAGTATTGTGGATATCTAGCCCTAGACCCACCAAAGGCTTCTTGCCAAGAATCAATTAGAATCAATATCTTCTCTTTCACATGAAAATCAGGCTATAAAAACAAACAAAATATTATATTAGAAACAGTTTTAACCAAAAAATCAAAATATTCATACATACATAGAGTAGCAACAATGGTAGAAGTGATAGTCTAACCTTCTTCTTCGCTATTTTCACCATGTCATAAAGCACATCTTTCTCTGCGACATGCATGTGGATAAGGTCCCCACAATTCTTTATTATTGTCTCCAATAACTAGAATATGGTAAACAGACCAAGCAAACCAATTGAGTCTTCTGTGAGAAAATGTTGTGAGAATGACAGGAGTAGGTTGCACTTCATTCAAAAAAAAATCAAACATCAGAGAATTCATCTCTGGTTGCAATCAAGTTTCCAGCAGAAAAGGCCAACTTATTCATACAAGGAATATGAATCAATGGATTTTCAGTCAATTGAAAAGTGAAGCTAATTCAAAGGTTCTTAGAATAATCAATTAGAGGTGCACACGGTTTGGATGGTTTGGTTTTGAGGAAATCGAGGAACAAAACTTTACCTAACAGTTCTAGGATATTGAAAACCAGACCAAACCGTTGACACCAATAAAACCAGACCAGAACCAAATTTGGTTCTCAGTTCCACAGCTTTCCTATTCGAAAAAATTATTGTAATTCTTGCTTTAAAAAAAATACCTAAATCAGAAAGGCCCAACTTAAAAACCTCTTAATAAAAAACACATAAACCGTTATCAGAAACAAATAATTTGAAACAATTAACCTTTATTTATTTATTTTTTAATTCAATTCAAGTTTGATAGAAAGAAAACAATAATATCAAGGTTGAGAGATAAATAAGCAGTACTTCAGGTATAAGACTGGTGGTGCTGGATGGCTCAATATCCCTATCTCAAATCAAATTGAATGTCACTTCTAATCTTTTTATTTGCAAAAAAAATCAAATTGAAAAAGACCCTAACTAAATCAGAAAGGGAAACTAAAAAACCCTGACTCAAAAGTTGAAGAATGCAAAAAAATTGCTTTACTGATCAGAGAGAGAACAATATGACTCTTGATTCCATGGTCATTTCATCTAAAATGATAATTTTCATCCCAATGTTAGGCAGCATGGTCATGTGGACGGTCAGTGATGGCAAGATCGTCTACTAAGAGAGATGGAAAAGTGGCTACAAACCAATACTAACAAATCAAACCAAGTGAGGTGCATTAGAGTCCCTGGTGGTTGTGGAAGTTTGGTGGCAAAGGAAAGCAAAGGTGGTTGTGGGATGAAAGTAGGCGCGCTGCGAGTGAGAGAGATGGAGCAACAGTAGAAGCAAGGAGACTGTAGAAGGTTGGGGGTTGCTTGAAATTTGTCAAGTACAGGCCCTTCTTTCTCTATTCAATCCACGGCCTACCTTGATACACCTATGTCACAACGGCTGATCTTTTGAGTGAAGGAACCCCAGGCATTGGTCAAGAGAGAGAAAAAAGAGAATCAGACCGGGGTTTCCTGGATTGACTAGATTTCTTGCAGAGCCCTATATAATCAATTAGATGGTAGTAAACCATTATTTACAGTCTTCTTGGCAAGCCTAATGGAAAGTACATCTACAAAAACAAAAATTGTAATTGAATATGATCCTTCAACTAATATCAGCCAAACTAACAATATGGGTAAGCTTCTTAATGCAACACCATAAAAGCTCTAACTTCTGGTGATGCAGCACCCACAGATGCAATGCAAGGTTATTTGGCTGCAAGGATTAGGTTTAGCGAAAGATTGGCCAAGAGTTGTGTACGGTTTAAATTGATAAAGGTTTGAGCTTGTGAAGAGAAGACTCTGGTGGCTAAAATTAAAGCTGTTCAGGGCTGTGAGCCATAAATTAGGGTTCAAAAGGTCGGGCTTTAAGGGTTCGTTGCAAGAAAAAGTAAGACTTACTTAATAGGGTTAACAAATTATGATTGCAAGCCCCACCTAGATGCTCCTCAACGGAGCAAGATTAATAGAAGCTTATGCACTTCCTACAGGATTTATTAGATTGGCCTTCAACAAGATGCTACAATCACTAGACAGTCATAACATTTGACCAAATCAATGGCAGTAATTGTTTTGCAATAAACTGTTAGCATGCACACTAAGCAGATTATAAACGTTTTCTGATGCCAAGAATTTAAAAGTAACCAATATTTGATTGTTAAAAGTCAAACTTGATGATTACAGAAATATGAACATCACATAAGGGAGAAGCAGAAATAAAAATGCCCATCCCTAACATGGAAAAAAAATTCACATAATTGAAAAGAAAATGTAGTAGTCTTTTCTGAACTTACTGTCAAGGCAAGAAGTTGAACTTTCGGATTCTTGGTTCCAAGGCGCTTTTTTATGCCTTTTACAACATCCTTTGATTGCCTGGTGAACCAAAACCAAATTACTGGTACCCATTACAGAGGAATCAACCCCAAAAAATTCAGCACTAATATCAACATCACAAATAAAAACTTTCCCAACTAGAGAAGTGGAGCACAAAAGAGCAAATAACAACACTCTCAATATGCATAAAAGTGGTAGATAGTAAGTGCGCTCATCTCAGAGGATGAAACATGCATGAACATGTGCATCTGCAGATGACAAGTAATTTTCCCTCAATGTAGCATTGCTTGACTGCTCTCCAACTTTTGAAAGTTCAAAATGCATCCATGGAGACGAAAGAACATTACTAAATGAGAGACTAAAAGTAATAAATGCAAATCCAACACAGCATAGTTATCAATTCTGTCTTCTTGTGAGGATTTGCTAGTCAAAATCTGTCATTCTGCTACTAAATAAAATGCTGTATTCAACCTTGATTCTATCTACTTATAAAGCACTTTAGACACTGAGGTTGTTCCGGTTGGTCTAGACAAAAAAATGTTTTTCTTTTTGCTATAATATTAAGCCTCTGCCAGTATATCTTTGTGTAGTGTCATAGAGATATCCAAGGAAATTTTGAGACGGCCCCATGTCAGTTCATGGTTGGCCCATCATGCCATTGCCGAATTTGATCCCTAGTTCATCATAGAAAGAGAACAATATGACTCTTGATTCCATGGTCATTTTCATCTAAAATGATAATTTTCATCCCAATGTTAGGCAGCATGGTCATGCTTCTTAGGGTAGCATATCCATGTCCATTCATGCTTGATGCATAGTTATCAGTCCTGTACCAGTCAGCATACTGTTTTCTCCCATTGACACAGTACATATTGGTGTATTTTGGTAGACTATTTTGAATTTATTGCTGTAAATATTATATATTGGGTCTTCTTAAAGTGTGTTGAGAAAGCTTAAAAAGATTATGCATTCTTTAATGCACACACTTTCATATAGAATGTACAAAATTTTTAAACTCATAAAAGCCAAGAGTACTTAGTAAAATTAAAGAAAACCCAACATCCCCAAATGCACAATTACTTATTAAACAATATTTGACCACATTTATAAAAGTTTTTTTACAAAATATACCACTTTTAGTATTAAAGTGGAATCCTTCATTTCAAAATAAAACAATTTAAAATGTGTGGATGCTTATTGTTCAAAAAACAAATTAATAAATAAATAAATTATGTAACTATTAGGTTTGACTAACATGATCCACATAATATTAATCCATATTTATTTCACTAAAAATTCATGGCATGTAAGTTATTTTAACCTTAAGCATCTTTAGAAGAAAAAAAATTAGAGGAAAAAAGGTGAAAGACATGTTGGGTCCGATGGAATCTAATTAAATCTTGTTAAAAATCATATGATCACCCAAATAATAACAAATCATGCATAACATTGGTTATTTTCCTATTAAAATCATATGATCACCAAAATAACAACAATTTCTAATAACAGTAGTTTGTGTCATATAAGAAAATTAGTACTCATAATAGTGGTTTAAGCAATTATTGGAAAAATCATATCAATCTTGACATAATAATTTAATTTTAAATGTTATTGTTAATGGCTTTTAGCAAGGAATTTGAAGGAACTCTTTTGGTGCTTTCAGTGGAGTAGTGAATGATACAACTCACGCTAGTAACAGGTAGTTCTTCTTCTCTTCCTTTATTTCTCTATATTTTATTTTAGTTGTTCTCTTATAATCAAAAGGCTTGGAAAACCACTTCATGCCTTCCCTTCTATTATTATCCATCTCTTTTCTAATTGGGTAAATTACATTCACCTCCCATGAGATTTGAAGGAAATACAATTAGCCACACACTTTTGATATAATTACACTGGCTTCCCTCAAAATTTTAATTCACATAATACTTAGGTCCTTTTTCATCAGTAATTTGTGAGTCGTATAGATTACTAGAATGTATATTTACCATTGTTTATTTTATTGTTTATCCACAATCTGCATTACCTTACTAAAAGGGAGGTCAATGTAATTATTCAAAACTTGTGGGGCTAGCTATATTTTTCTCAAACATTAGGAAGGTGAATGTACCCTTTCCAATTTTAGCACGATGTCAAATCTTTCCCTATCATTTTCTCCTTACTTCCATCCTTCATTTGGTTACATTGCTAGATAAATTATATGATAAGATAATCCAACTGAATACGTTTGAATATCTAGAAGGAAAAAAAGAAAGAAAAAAGAAATGATTTGTTAAGTTAGGAGAGAAAATAAAATAAGAGAAGAGATTAGGATTTCTCCACTTCTTGTTTGGTTAGACTGGAGAGAAAAGAAAAGAAAAAATTGTAATTTCTCTCCAATCTTGTTTAGATAGACTACATAAAAAGAAAAGAAAATAAATTTTATATTACCAAAATAACCTTTTACGACAATTTTGATATTTCATAAAATTAGTAATTATCACATTTCTTCTTGCTCCCAATCTCTCCAATCTTGAAGTGATTTAGAGAAATCAATTTCTCTCCATTTCATTTTATTTCTCCTCGTTTCCCTCCTCTTAGCAATCCAAACAAGTGATTAACACCAAGAGAAATTCATTTCTCTTCATTTCTCTCCAAATCACTTAATCCAAACGAATTGTAAACGTTCATTCTTTAACAATTTAAAAACACACACACACAAACACAAACACATTCTCCAAAAATCCTACATTATTCAAACAAATTCTCCAAAAATAATCCATGAAAACACCAATAAATCATACAACGTTCCAAATTTGCAGTTAAGATGCTATTAATTGAAATTGATATGAAACAAAAAACTGAAAAAAGAAGCGAGAAACGTACGAAGGATCATGATTCAAAATGTCGCATATCTCGATGTTCAATGCCCAATCTGGACCGATGAGCAAATCGGTCGTGGCTCGTTCCACCATAGAATTCACCATATTCGCTTCGAGATGATCGAAATCAAACTATTGAAATGAATTTCAACCAAATCAAAATGAAATAATGGATGGAACAGTTCTGGAACCATATGTCTCTCTCTCTCTCTCCTGAACTGATTGAGAGAATCTCTCTCTCTCTCTCCTCTTTACTGTAGTTTCTCTATCTAAAACTCTTGCTACTCTCTCGCTAGTTTCTTTCTTTTCTGTTATGATTCAAATTTGGCAATTTAAATCAGGACACGTGTGAAGATATATATTGTTAATGTCACGACGAGTGTGTCGTACTTGGGTGTACGTATTCGATGATAGCGATATGATTTGAAAAATGATTGGGAGAGAGCTCTAATGGAATGGACCCACTGCGATAGGATGTTTGATCGTGGTTTTATTTTATTTTTTTTTTTTATACTCTGTCACGTTGTCAGAGTTCTAAAATTAAAGAGATGTATTACTGTTCATATGATTTTGGTTGTCCTTTTGGATTAACAGCATCTCCAATCTATTAAATATATAATATTTGTTAATTAAAATGTTTAATATAATTTATTTTTTTCAATTTTAATGTCTTAAGATCTCGTTTGGAAATAAATTATTTTAGTAATTTTTAAATTTTTTGAATTTTTGACTAAAATATGAGGTAAAAAAAATTTGTATGTTTGAAATGAATTTTTGATTTTTTACAAAAATATGTGCAAAAAATAGAAAGAAAAAAAGAATTTTTAACTTTTTTATATAAGTTATAGACTTTTTGATTTTTTTTAGCAATTTTTTGACTTTTAAGTTAAAACTATCACTTCTCAAACAAGACCTAAATATATGATTAAACATTTTAGTTTAACGTACTTTCATTAGCTACATGTAACTAGTCTTCAAAATTAGACAAAACGTTTAATCATTAGAATCATTTTCTTCTATTTTTGTTATTGATGTGACATTTTATAAAGTTAATAATATTTGAATGAAGGACTTTTCTTATGTGTGCCTTACATATGGTATGCAAGGCACTTACACCTTTCTATTTTACCTTTACACCTTTTTGAGTATTGAGTTATACAAAAATATTTGAAAACTAACGCATTGATGACCTGCTAAAGCAGGTCACTTCTAGGTAAATGAATAAAAGAATATATATTATATGACTAAAAGTGTAATTTTGTTACAAAAGGTGTAAATAATTTCACAAAATTTGTAAATTTTCACAGAAAGCGTAAATTTTAACAAAAGACGTAAGTAATTTCAGAAAAAGGCGTAAGTGATTTTTGAAAATTTACACCCTTTGTAAAAACTTACGCCCCTTTTGTGAGAACTTATACCTTTTGTGAGAACTTACACTTTTTTGTGAAAGTACTTACACTTTTCTGACAACTTACAACTTTTGTAAAATTGCTCACCAAAGACGTAACTTTTGACAACTTACACATAATACTTACATCTTTTGTAAAACAAGTTATACCTTTTGTCAAAGTTACACTATATGTGGAACATTTTATTTCATAAAATTTTGACAACTTACACATAATACTTACATCTTTTGTAAAACAAGTTATACCTTTTCCGAAAGTTACACCATATGTGAATGACAACTTACACATAACATTTATATCTTTTGTAAAACAAGTTATACCTTTTCTGAAAGTTACACCATATGTGAAAAATTTTATTTTATAAAATTTTGACAACTTACACATAATACTTACGTCTTTTGAATTTTTTGACAACTTACACATAATACTTACACATAATACTTACGCCTTTTGAATTTTTTGACAACTTACACATAATACTTACGCCTTTTGAATTGTTTGACAACTTACACATAATACTTACGCCTTTTGAACTTACAATAATTTCAAAATTATTTCACAAAATGAGTAACTTTTCAGAAAAGATATAAGCACTTCCATGAAAAGGTGTAAATTTTAGCAAAAGATATAAATTTTATGAATTTTTTTTTCACAAAAGATATAAGCGACTTCAGAAAAAGGTTTAAGTTGGCTTTCACAGAAGGTGTAAGTTCCAAGAAAAGTATAAATCTTATAATAAAAATTATTTCACAAAACGAGTAAGTTTTCAGAAAAGATATAAGCACTTCCACTAAAAGGTGTAAATTTTATCAAAAGATATAAATTTTATGAATTTTTTCTCCCACAAAAGATGTAAGTGACTTCAGAAAAAGGTTTAAGTTTGGCTTTCACAACAGGTGTAAATTTCAAGAAAATGTATAAATCTTATGACAAAAATTCTTTCACAAAAGGAGTAACTTTTTAGCAACGGTGTAAGTATTTTCACGAAAAGGTGTAAGTTTTAGCAAAATGTATAAATTTGATGAATTTTTTTTTTCACAAAATATATAAGTGACTTCAGAAAAATGTTTAAGTTTGGCTTTCACAAAATGTGTAAATTCCAAGAAAAAGTATAAATCTTATGACAAAAATTATTTCACAAAAGGAGTAACTTTACCGCAGCGGTGTAAGTGTTTTTACAAAAAGGTGTAAGTTTTTGCAAAATGTATATAAATTTGATGATTTTTTTTTTCACAAAATATATAAGTGACTTTAGAAAAATGTTTAAGTTTGGCTTTCACAAAAGGTGTAATTTAAATAAAAAGTATAAATTTTATGGAAAAAGTAATTTCACAAAAGGAGTAACATTTCAAAGTGTTCATAAACACAAAAGGAGTAACGTGTCAAAGTGTTCATAACCACAAAAGGAGTAACACTTCAAAGTGTTCATAAACAAATTGGGACAACCACTGAACAAATCAAAGGGTTCGTGACCCCCGCTGACCACCCAAGCGTCGGTGGCCTCCGGTGCTCACTATCGTCGCCACCTCCATGACCACCGCCGCCTCCACGGCCACGGCCACTTCCACGGCCACTGCCGCCGCAAATCAAAGGTTTTTTTTCTCTCTGGCTATCGATCTTGGTCTCTCTCTATCGATGTCGGCCGTCGATGTCGGTCTCTCTCGGTCTGTCTCCAGCGATCTTGGTCTGTTTATGTCCATGTGGTCTCTTCTCTGTCGATTCGGTCCCTCTCTGTCGATCTCGGTCTGGCTGTCTCTGTCGATTCGGTCCCTCTCTGTCGATCTTGGTCTGGCTGTCTCTGTCGATCACTGTCCATCTAGGTCTTTGTCTGTTGATCTCAGTCTATCACTCTCTGTCTGTCCGTTGCTCTATAATTAAAAAGGTTCTCTTTTACATTGACATTCTTCGTTGGATTTGGACTTGGAGTCGCTATTCCAAGCCCTCCCAAATTCGTCTTCTCTGAAACGGACTTCTACTGAGAGAAAGACCAAGCCCTCCGAAACGCCCTTCTCTCTCACATTGCCATTATTTGAAGAAGACAAATATAGTTTGATTGGATTTAGGAATCTACAGGTTTTGCGAAGTTACTTACATCTCCCTTGAAAACACTTACACTATTTGTGGAAGGTTAAACATTTGTGAAATAAATTATTTTTTTAAATTTACACATTTTCGTTGAAATACTTAAACCTCCTGTGAGAAGTATCTTTTGTGGAAAAAAAAATGATTGATGAAATTTACACATTTTGCCTAAACTTACAGTTTTTTGTGAAAAAACTTACACCGCTGCTGAAAAGTTATCCTTTTGTGAAAGAATTTTTGTAATAAAATTTATACCTTTTATGAAACTTACACCTTTTCGGAAAACCAAACTTATACATTTTTCTGAAGTAACTTACATCTTTTGTGGGAAAAAAAATTCGTAAAATTTATATCTTTTGCTAAAATTTACACCTTTTCGTGGAAGTGCTTATATCTTTTCTGAAAAGTTGCTCATTTTGTGAAATGATTTTGAAATTATTGTAAGTTCAAAAGGCGTAAATATTATGCGTAAGTTGTAAAAAAATTTACATCTTTTGTAAAATAAGTTATACCTTTTCTGGAAGTTACACCATAGGTGAATGACAACTTACACATGATACTGATATCTTTTGTAAAACAAGTTATACCTTTTCTGAAAGTTACACCATATGTGAAAATTTTTATTTCTACGTGAATGACAACTTACACATAATACTTACATCTTTTGTAAAACAAGCTATATTTTTCTGAAAGTTACACCATACGTGAATGACAACTTACACATAATACTTACATTTTTTGTAAAACAAGTTATAATTTTTCTGAAAGTTACACCATATGTGAGAGATTTTATTTCATAAAATTCTCAAAACTTACACATAATACTTACGCCTTTTGAATTTTTTGACAACTTACACATAATACTTACGCCTTTTGAACTTACAATAATTTCAAAATTATCTCACAAAATGAGTAACTTTTCAGAAAAGATATAAGCACTTCCACGAAAAGGTGTAAATTTTAGCAAAAGATATAAATTATATGAATGTTATTTTTTCACAAAAGATATAAATGACTTCAGAAAAAGGTTTAAGTTGGGCTTTCAGAAAAGGTGTAAGTTTCAAAAAGGTATAAATCTTATGACAAAAATTCTTTCACAAAAGGAGTAACTTTTCAGCAACGGTGTAAGTTTTTTCACGAAAAGTGTAAGTTGCGGCAAAATGTGTAAATTTCATCATTTTTTTTTTCCACAAAAGATATAAGTGACTTCAGAAAAATGTTTAAGTTGGGCTTTCAGAAAAGGTGTAAGTTTCAAAAAGGTATAAATCATATGACAAAAATTCTTTCGCAAAAGGAGTAACTTCTCAGCAACGGTGTAAGTTTTTTCACGAAAAGCTGTAAGTTGAGGCAAAATGTGTAAATTTCATCAATTTTTTTTTTTTCACAAAAGATATAAGTGACTTCAGAAAAAGGTTTAAGTTGGACTTTCAGAAAAGATGTAAGTTTCAAAAAGGTATAAATCTTATGACAAAAATTCTTTCGCAAAAGGAGTAACTTTTCAGCGACGGTATAAGTTTTTTCACGACAAAGTGTAAGTTTAGGCAAAATCTATAAATTCGATGAATTTTTTTTTTCACAAAAGATATAAAGTGACTTCAGAAAAAGGTTTAAGTTGGACTTTCAGAAGAGGTGTAAGTTTCAAAAAGGTATAAATCTTATGACAAAAATTCTTTCGCAAAAGGAGTAACTTTTCAGCGACGGTATAAGTTTTTTCACGACAAAGTGTAAGTTTAGGCAAAATCTATAAATTCGATGAATTTTTTTTTTCACAAAAGATATAACTGACTTCAGAAAAAGGCTTAAGTTTGGCTTTCACAAAAGGTG